CACCCTTACCTAAATACTATTCATCTATATGTTTTACTGTAAACACTTGTTCTACACACCCCCTACCCTTCCTGAAGCCTCCTTGGTCATCTGTGATCCTGCTCTCCATCTTACTCCTAATTCTTTGAATAATAACTCTACCATATACTACTTTACCAGTTATACTCAACAGACTTATTCCCTTATAATTTTTACACTTTTTCCCTCTTTACCTTTATACAAAGAAACTGTGTATGCTCTCTGTCAGTCCCTAGGTGCCTTACCCTGTTCCATACATTTATTAAATTAAAGCACCAACCACTCCAAAACTATATCCCTACTTGCGTTTATCATTTCTGTCTTTAGCCTGTCAATCCCAGCTGTTCTAACCCCTTTTATTCTACCCACAACCTCATGCTCCTCCCCCACACTCACAACTGGCTCTTCCTCACTCCTAAAAGATATTCTCTCTCCCTGCCCATTGCATGAAATAACAGCTTCCCTGTCTTCATCAGCATTGAAGTTGCTCAAAACATTTCTTCCATCTTCCCGGTGCTACTAACTCTGTCTAATAACTCTCCTCTCCTGTTTTTAACTGTCATATTCACCTCTATTAATGGTTTATTTACTGACATAGAGTTAGTGGATGTTTAAATAATTTTTTTAGATTGCTTCAACTTGCAGTTAATCATTTTTTACTTTTAAAATAAGCTGCATACACAGATGAAGTAGCAGTGGGTTGTGGATTGCAGCTATATTCCTAAGCTTTTGTGATAATATTTGGGTTGATGACTGTCATTTTGATTTTAAACCACCACTTTCTGAGAGATGTGGGGATGGTATTCTTACTCTGAGACTACTTCAAAAATTATTTAAATTCTCAGCAAAAACAAAAAAAAATGTTATATTTGCAGTAGATAAGGAAAATAAAAAGCTGTCATTTCTTGTTGTTAATGTTGAACATATTAATGGTAACTTCCTTCATACAGTGGCTAAATCATAAGCCTACATTTACAGGCTTACTGGCAGATCTACACTTACTATCCTTTGTGCCAGCTTTATTTCAAGAAATCAACACAAATTTTTTAATCAGTTCCTCTTGTCTGCATTTGATGGTGAAATTGAATTCTTGTAGATTTTTTCTTAACTAATAGTTACCCACAAAAGAAATTGGAGTATATTTTTGTAAACCCATTTATTATTGGTTGCAGTTAATGTTTATGAATCCTGTTGTAGCCCCTGTTTGCTCAAATGTAGTGTATTGGTTCATTTGCTTAATGGTAATATTAAATATATAAGAAGTGCTATGCAAAATTTTAAGACTAGAATTTGTTAACTTAAAGGATTATCATATACGAGCTTTACAACTATGGACAAACTACCTTGCTCTAATGACTTTAAAATAGTAATTAAGGGACATAATAATTTAGATTTAAGAATTTTCGAGAGGTTAAGCATTAAACATCTTAAACTTTAAATTGTTGACAGTAATTCTGTAATCAACTTGTTTACTCTAAAATAATTATAATTTACCCTCTTTTGGCGAGTTCAGTTTTTTGTTTTTATTCACTGTTGTGGTTTGTCGTGGAGAGTAACTGCCCGATTTGTGAAGAACACAGATCATCTCTTTACTGACATGTTTATCTAATCTTTAGCCCATTGACTCTCGCGGTCGTATATATACATCTTACGAACCAGTGTTTTTGATGTATTAATATGCTAAAATTCTAGTGGCTTCAAATCAAGCAGGAGAAAGCTGGTAGGCCCACATGTGAGAGAATGTGCATGTGTGGTAAGTGTGTGCAGTATAAAAAAATCCTGCAGCATGCAGTGCCTAATAAGGAAAAAAAACTCAGACCATGTTTTTGGATTAAAACTCCGACTTTGAGTGTATTTTCGTATAGTATTTATGGTTGTATTCTCGTTTTCTTGGTCTCATTTGATAGAATGGAAGACAAGCTACAGAAATAGAGATGATTTTGATAGGTTTCATGATGAAAAGGACCTTGAAATTGAGCTCAAAATAGCGGAAATGTTCGGTATCTGCAGATGTTCAAGAGTGAACAAATGACGTCACTGTCCAATAAGTGTCCAACTTACCATTCTAATATGGAGTCACAAATGGGTTGATATTATTTATGCAATTATTACAATAATGCAGAAGTCTGTATAACAGTAAATCTTCTATTTTTTGTGTGAATAAAAATTCTAAATAGAAAGCAAGAGTAATATAAGAGGGGCCTGGAGACATGACTAATGAACAGAGATGATGTTATTTTAGTCCCAGGAATGTCTGCATTGTTTTATTCTCGACCCTATTTTGAAATCGCATCTTTTTTTAATTTACATGAAATTGGCCAAATTGCCAATTTCTGACCACTTTATTGGGTAGTTGAAATTGGTAAATGGGTGGTTTCTTGTACTCAGTCCATAGAACAAATGGAGTTCTAAAGAAATAGCTATGAGTTTGGTCGACTGGAACAATGGAATTGGCCGAAAATAGGGTTCAGTGGGTGAAATCGCCGCTGCTTATATATCACCGAGATTGCTAACTTCACAAGAGCGTAATTCCATTAGTTTTCCATCAGATTTCGTACTTTCAGTGTCATTACCATTGGGAAAAGATTATAATTTCATAAGAATTTTTTTTTTTCGAATACTTTGCGACAGAGAGAGAGACTTCAGGATTTGGGGTCTCGACAGTCAAAGGGATAAACTTTTCTCATGTTTTGCTGATATGTTGTTTTTCTCATGTCCTAGAAGTGAATCCTGATGATGGATTCAATATAGAAACATTGTTATATTCACTCTAATAAATGTCCTCAGGATCTCTTAATCTTTCCCATCTACCAAAATTAATTATATTCTGTGAATGTAAGTATTATTTATTTTTTCTTTAGATATTTATTTTGATTTACTATACTGTATATAAACATTTGTAGGTTTTAATATGTTATTTTTTTCTAGGTGGCAGTGAGAGTGAAGCAAGTATAAAGTCACAAGTTGGAAAAGTTGGTGGTCCACTCAATCATAATAGTTCTCTTCCAAAACCCAAACATATAAATAATGTGTCTGTGATACAGTGTGGCCCAGCGCTTGTGAATGCTACTCAGGTCAAGGTTAAGGCTGATCCAGTAGGTCCTCTGGCCTTGGCAGCAACTCCACCTGTCACCACACAAGGTGGTCAGCTTGTTAGTCAGCATGCAGATAAAATTTTAAATAAACCAAGTCATCAAATAGACAAGCCTTTAAGGAGACCAAAGCAGAAAGACAAGTCTATTGATAATCAAAAAGAGGAAGATAAACCAGTTAATAACGAAGAGGATCAGGAGAAGCATTTGGGTGATACCCAGGAGGCAGACACGTCCTCCAGTAACATAGCCTGCATACCAGATATTCAAGTAGCTCATGTTGCCTCTGAGAAAGAAAAAGAAAAAGCTTCTCAAAATCATACCTCAGACACCAAAACGAAAGGTAAGTGTATAATGCAAATAAAATTATTTATTAAGAGTAAAAGAAGTAATGTTATAGATTTAAAGATTGGAATGTGCAGGAAACCTGGCAGAAATAACAGAACCCAAATGCATGAATGTAAAGGCATGAAGTTTACAAAATAAAGATTAAATTAATTTTCTTTATAGTATTTAATTTTGAGTTTAAAGCACAATATGCCAGAAAGATAAGTCAGTGTCATAATCCTTGTGATTCCTATGTTTTAGCTCTGGGAACTAATCAGTGTAATCTGTGATTCCTGTTTTAGCTCTGGGAACTAGTCAGTGTAATAATCCTTGTGATTCTTGCTTTGACTCTGGGAACTACTTAGTCACATCTTTGTACTTTTCACCCTTGTTAACATTTTTTACACATGGACACAATGTCAGCACTGCATATGGCCTAACATATTGAGAATAGGCTTTTCAACATTTCCATATCTGTATAATTTATAAAAAAAATTAAATTGGCTAGTATTGCATAGAGATTTCTGCAACATCTTCATGCCCCTCCTTAATTAACCCATTTTCATTTACCACTGGCACCCCAAATTTGCGTAGTACTCCCTCCACAACATTTTTACCCACTTTAGCATTGAAATCCCCAGCCAGAAGTACTCTCTCACTTGGTTCAAAACTCCCCACACACGCACTCAACAATTCCCAAGACCTCTCTCTCTCCTCTACACTTCTCTCTTCTCCTGGTGCATATACACTTACTGTAACTCACTTTTCACATCCAACCTTTATTTTACTCCACATAATCCTTGAATTAATACTTTTATACTCCCTCTTTTCCTGCCATATCTTATCCTTCAACATAATTGCTACTCCTTCTTTAGCTCTAACTCCATTTGACACCCCTGACCTAATCCCACTTATTCCTCCCCACTGAAACTCACCCACCCCCTTCAGCTTTGTTTCACTTGAAGCCAGGACATCCAACTTCTTCTCATTCATAACATCCACAATCATCTCTCTCTTGTCATTCACACAACATCCACACACATTCATACATCCACTTTGACAATTTTCTTCTTCTTCTTCTGTTTGGTAATTTTTTCAACAAGTCGGCTGTCTCCCACCGAGGCAGGGTGACCCAAAAAGAAATAAATCCCAAAAAAGAAAATACTTTCATCATCATTCAACACTTTCACCTCACTCACACATAATCACTGTTTTTGCAGAGGTGCCCAGAATACAACAGTTTAGAAGTCTATATGTATAAAAATACACAATATATCCCTCCAAACTGAAAATATCTCAAACCACTCCTTTAGAGTGCAGGCATTGTACTTCAGATTTCCAGGACTCAAGTCCGGTTATATAAATTAACCGGTTTTCCTGAATCCCTTCACTAAATATTACCCTGCTCACACTCAACAGCTCGTCAGGTCCCAAATACCATTTGTCTCCATTCACTCCTATCTAACACACTCGCGCACGCTTGCTGGAAGTTCAAACCCCTTGCCCACAACACCTCCTTTACCCCCTCCCTCCAACCTTTTCGAGGACGACCCCTACCCCGCCTTCCTTCCCCTACAGATTTATACACTCTCCATGTCATTCTACTTTGATCCATTCTCTCTAAATGACCAAACCACCTCAACAAACCCTCTTCAGCCCTCTGACTAATACTTTTATTAACTCCACACCTTCTCCTAATTTCCACACTCTGAATTTTCTGCATAATATTTACACCACACATTGCCCTTAGACAGGACATCTCGACTGCCTCCATCCGCCTCCTCGCTGCAGCATTTACAGCCCAAGCTTCACACCCATATAAGAGTGTTGGTACTACTATACTTTCATACATTCCCTTCTTTGCTTCCATAGATAACACTTCTTGCCTCCACATATACCTCAACGCACCACTCGCCTTTTTTCCCTCATCAATTCTATGATTAACCTCGTCCTTCATAAGTCCATCCGCTGACATGTCAACTCCCAAATATCTGAAAACATTCACTTCTTCCATGCTTCTCCTCCCCAATTTGATATCAAATTTTTCTTTATCTAAATCATTTGATACTCTCATCACCTTACTCTTTTCTATGTTCACTTTCAACTTTCTACCTTTACACACACTCCTAAATTCGTCCACTAACCTTTGCAATTTTTCTATAGAATCTTCCATAAGCACAGTATCATCAGCAATAAGTAACTGTGACACTTCCCATTTGGTATTTAATTCCCCATAATTTAATCCCACCCCTCTCCTGAACACCCTAGCATTTACTTCTTATACAACCCCCATCTATAAATATATTAAACAACCATGGTGACATTACACATCACTGTCTATGACCTACTTTTACCGTGAAATTGTCTCCCTCTCTTCTACACACCCTAACCTGAGCCTCACTATCCTCATCAAAACTCTTTACAGCATTTAGTAACTTACCATCTATTCCATATACTTGCAACATCTGCCACATTGCTTCCCTATCTACTCTATCATATGCCTTTTCTAAATCCATAAATGCAATAAAAATTTCCCTACCTTTATCTAAATACTGCTCACATATATGCTTCAATGTAAACACTTGATCTACACATTCCCTACCCACTCTAAAACCTCCTTGCTCATCCGCAATTCTACATTCTGTCTTACCTCTAATTTTTTCAATAATAACCCTACCGTACACTTTTCCTGGTGTACTCAGTAAACTCATTCCTCTATAATTTTTACAATCACTTTTGTCCCCCTTCCCTTTATATAAAGGGGATATACCCACACTTTTGGCCAGTCCCTAGGTCCCTTTCCCCCTCATTCTAAAATTTATTAAAAAAAAATACCAACCTTTCCCAAAACCCCTTATGCCCCCTCCCTTTTTAAACCCTTTTTGTCTTTGTTCCTGTCTTTTCCCAGCTGCTTTCCCCCCTTTTCATTCAAAGGTAATGCTTCACGCACCCCCCCCACACTCCCCTTTCCTGCTTTCTTCACTCCTAAAAGATGGTATACCTCCCGGGCCCAGTGAATGAAATTACCCCCTTTCCCATTCTTCGTGGGACATCAAAAAAGTTCCTCAAAATTTTTCTCCCATCTCCCAAAAACCCCCATCTCCCCATCTCCCTTAACTCCCTACTCTTTTTTTAACTGCCCAAAACCATTTGTCCCCTTGGCTTTTTTAAAACTTAACCACTCAAAAATTTTTTTTTTTTATTTTCTTTAAAAATTTCTTGACAGTACCTCTTCCACTCTTCATCCTTTCCCCTTTTTGGGAAACTCTCTCACCACTCTCTTCCCCCCTTCTTTTATTTCTCCATATCTCTGCTGTTCTTATAACACTTCTGCTTTGTAAATACCTCTTAAGCTACCTTTTTCTCTTTTACCCACTCCCTTTACTTCATCCCCCCCCCCCCCCCCCAACCCATCCTTTTTCCCCCTTGATCCCCCCCTCCTAAAAACCAAAACTTTTCCCCCACTTTTCTAATACTGCTTTTTTAAAAAACTATTCCAACCCTTTTTCCACCCCCCCCCCCCCCCCACTCTAAAACCTGCCCCGGCCCACCTTTCTGCCAATATTTGTTGGGATTTCACCCGAACTTCTTCCTCCCTTAGTTTAAACACTTTCACCTCTCTCTCACATGTTGTTGCTATTTTCCTTTTTATCCCATCTACCTCATCCTCAAAACTGTGGTTTCAACTGGGTTAATGACCCGATAAAAAATTCGGTTCCCCCTCTATAAAATTTTGTAAAATCCGGGAGCCTCCCCATCAACCTTTTTTCCCCCCTTTCAAAATCTAACAAACTACTTTCATTCCCTTTGCTACTTTTACCTTGAAATTTTTAATTTATCCTCTTTTACATAAAATTTTTTTTTTTTTTTTTTATTTCAAAAGTCGTTCGTCTCCCACCGGGGCAGGGGGACCCAAAAAAAAAAAGAAAATCCCCAAAAAGAAAATACTTTCATCATTTCAACACTTTCACCAAACTAACACTTTTTCCCATGCTTTTCCCAGAGGTGCCCAGAATAAAAACCATTGAAGCATTACGAAAAAAATTTTTACAAAAATATCCCTCCAAACTCCCAAATTTTCCCCAAACCCCCCCTTTTAAAAAGTGCAGGCATTGTGTTTCCCCTTTTTCCAGGACTCAAGCCCAAACTATATAAAAAAAACCGGGTTTTCCCCTGTTTCCCTTCACAAAATTTTCCCCTCTCATCCCCAAAACAGATGTCGGGGCCCCAAAGTATCATTCGTCTCCATTCATCCTATCTAACCGCTATGCCGCTTGTTTGGAAAAAGCCCAACCCCCGGGCCCACAAAACCCCCTTTCCCCCCTTTTCCCAAACCTTTCGAGGACGCCCCCTCCCCCCTTTTCCCTTCCCCTATGGATTTATATCTTTCCATGTCATTTACTTTGCCCATTCTCTCTAAAGGGACCAAACCACCTCAACAACCCCTTTCTCCCCTTTGACTAATCCCCTTTTATTAACTCCACCCCTTCTCCAAATTTTCCACACCCCGAATTTTCTGCATAATATTTACCCAAAACATTGCCCTTAGCCCGGGAAAATCTCCACTGCCCCCCCGTTCCTCCTGCTGCATTTACCCCCCAAGGGTTTCCCACACCCTTTTTAAGAGTTTTGGGTACTTTTTTTATTTTCCCTAATTCCCTTCTTTCCCTCCTTAGATAAGGTTTTTTGACTCCACATATACTCAAGCCCCACCCCTTTTTTTTTCCCCTCATCAATTCTATGATTAACCTATCCTTAAAAATCCATCCGCTAAACACTTAAAAACTCCCAAGTATCTAAAAAATTCACTTCTTCCATATCCTCCCCCCCTTTTTTGATATCCAAATTTTTCTTTATCAAATAATTTGATACCCTTCATCCCCTTTACTCTTTTCTATTTTGGACTTTAAAATTTCCCTCCCTTTACACACATTCTAAACTCATCCATTTAACCCTTTTGAAAATTTTTCTTTAGAATTCCCCCCTAAGCCGTTCATCAGAAAAAAAGAAAACTGT